GGAGGCCCTCCCCTCCGTCCCGCTGCCTCCCGCTCCCTCCCCGCCCCCCGGCCCGGTGATGTCATCCGCCCGTCCCAGCGCGCAGCCGCGGGGGGCTGCGCCCCTGGGACCCGGGTCCTGGGCGTCCCGGCGCCTGCAGGGAGGCTGGGGAAATTGAGGCCCGCTGAAGGCATGGACGCTGCCTCGGATCCAGCAGCCAGGGAGGGAGCAATGTTTCCAATCCAAGACCCGGACAGCGACCCCAGCTTCGCCCCCACCCGTTGCCCAAATTCCTTGAAGGACAGAGGTGTGAGAGACAGAAATCACCTGCCTTCTCCCGTTTTTGACTGATGGGAAAACTGACGCCTGGAAAGGGGTGGGGACGCGGTCAGGGAAGGAGAGAGCCCCAAACCCTAAGGTCAGACCCCTCCCTTCCCACTGTTCCACCTGAAAGGTACTTGAAAATTATGCCCTGCTCGGTTTCCTAATGAGGAAACTGAGACCCAGAGAGGGGTACGCAGCGGAGACTCGGGCCCAGGAGTGTGGGTTGGGCTGTCTGGGTCTGGGAGGGAGGAGCGAAGCCCAGTCCCCCTTCTGCTGCTCTTCCCTGGGCTTCAGTTTTCCAGGCTGTAAGCCAGGGGCATGAGCTGGGGGGTCACGGGCTCCTCCTCTATTTCTGGGGAGCTCTGTCTGGCATCAACCCAACTGAACTCTTGGGCCTCGGCCTCTTAGGCCGGCCTGCCCCTCCGTCCCCAGCCTCTTTGTCCCCCACCCAGACCTCAAAGGCTGATTCCTTCTGCACCGAGGGTCGAGAGGCCACGGTCATCGCAGGACCCAGCCTCCTGGCCTCAGTCTCGACAGAGCCTCCTTCCCCTCCCCCGCCTGGGGTGGGGCTGACTGCCGGGAAACAAAGGGAGGGGGCCGGGGCGCGCGGGCAGGTGGGGAAGGAGGGGTGAGGCTGCCTGGAGCGGGATCGATAAATCAGAGAAATGAGATCACAGCCTGGCGGTGGCCCGCGAAGCCTGTGGAGGAGGAGGCGAAGCGGGGGAGGGACTCGCGGCGGATTGGCCGGCGTTGGGGTGGGGCGGGGGTCGGTGATGCTGCCCCAAGCCTGCGTGTGTCAACGCTGGGACTGCTCTGGTGCATCTGCAGGGTCGGGATGAGAGGGTATACAGCGGTCAAGTCCTTGGGGTCTGCTGGTGGGGGGGTGTTGTCGGGGTCTGGAGCCTCCATCTGGGTTTGTGTGTGTTGTGTGTCTCTACATACATGTGGACCGTATGAGAGTTGGCCTGTTTGTCTACTGTGTGTAGATTTGAACATGTGTATGCATGTGAGGGGGGCATCTGGGTTCTCCTGAGGGGTGGGTGTGCATGTATGTGTAGGAGTTCTGGTGTGTATCCACCTACATAGGTAAAGGGGTGCATGCTCAAGTTTGGCATTTCCAGGCTGGGGGAAAGGGACAGAGTAAGGGTCATGCATCTCAGAACCCCTCTGGGTCATGCCTGAGGTGCCACCCCTGGGCCATCTCCTCATGGTGGCAGTCTGTCCCTCCCAAGCTCCTGGGTTAGGGTCTTTCTGGGTCAGGGGTTTATAAGACCTGGGCTTATCACACAGGAGACTCAGTCACATGACACCATCCATGTGTTTCCTTCCGGTCCCTAGGGAAGCATGGCAGGAACAGAGCCCAATGGCCAAGATTCAAATCCTGGCATCAGAGAGACACAAGGGCTCACCGTGTGCCCTCAGGCAAGGGTCCAATCTCTCCAAAGCCCCATTTTCTCTCAGTAAACACTGACTGCCTCCTGAGTTGCTGTGACGTTTAAATGATCTTTATCAATATCTGAAACATGGTAGGCACCTACTGATGATGGAAATTAGAGTACATTAAACTCCTATACATCCTTCAAAACCCAGTTTCAATGTCCCCTCTTCCAAGAAGCTTACCTGGCTTCCCCCATTCAAAGCCCTGGCTCTTACCCAGCCCTGGATCCCTCCTCTGGTCCCATCCAGTCCCCCAGGGGCTGCAGAATTGGGGGGCTGGATCTTAAGAGCAGCATTTAAGTCTCCTTCCTTTGATGTGGACAGCGGGTTAAATGCACTCACATGTGTGATGCTGACAGCTCTTGTACCACAGAGAGATTTATTGGCAGGCCCCTAGAGGGAGGGGTATCAGCCTGATTTGGGGCTGGGACCAGCGCAGGCAGCTGTGCTTCCTTGAGAAGCAGGGAAGAGCCCAAGTTTAGCAGAAATCCAAGCTGTGTTAGGGATGCAGGCCCTAGCAAGGTGGACACCGAATTCTAGGACACAGGAAGTTCATCCCCAGCCAGCCGCTGGGGAGGGCTGGGGCTCTCCCTTTCTCTGCCTGGCCTGACTTGGCCTGGTGTGACCAGAAGGAAGAAACTGGGACACTGGACGGAAGCTCACCCTGCACAGGGCCGCAGGGTCACAGCCTCCAGGGACCAAAAGAAGCAAGTGGCCTAGAAGGACCTCAGAATTCAGAAAAAAGGAGGAAAGAGGCACCTGTCCCCCACTTCTCCAAGCGCCCCACCAGCCAAAGCCAGGCTCAGGAGGGGCCTGCCCACACCCCATGTGACCACAGAGGTAAACTGAGGCTCGGTCCAGGGGCAGCTGGGAGTCCTGACCCCAAAGGTGTCAGGGTGTGGTGTCCACACCCATGGTGGTAGCCCTTTTGGAGTGGCGGATGCCCATGGTAAACGCTGGGGCCCTGACTGTGGTCATGGTGACCTGCTCAGGTCTGTGGGCACCAGGCCCAGGAGTCTCCTCCGGGGGGCGTGTGGCACGGGGCCGGCCCAGCATGGTGAAGGCGGGCCGGCGCTGACGGTAGGTGTTGGGGTCTGGGCTATCATACTGGCCAGGACCTGGTATCTCAGCAGGGTCCTGAGGGGGGCGAGTGGGGGGTGTGCGGCCTGCTACTGTGTAGCTGGGGCTGCTGGGCTTAGTGAATATCTGGGAGCCCCAGAGGGAGGGCAGGATATAGGTGTTAGGGGCAGGGGCTGAGGTGTCCTGGAGCTGTGGTCGCAGGCGGGATCCCAGAGTGAAAGCCGGAGGCGTCCGGTGATGCACAGGGGCTGCTTTCTCTGGGCTGTAGGCCCCAGGGCCTGGTGTCACCTCCAGACCTGTAAGAATGAGACAGGAGGGTTGGCAGGAGTCCTCACCTGCTCAAAGACCTTGCATGGCTGCCCATTACCCCTGTGCTTCCTGGAACTCAAAGCACTTCTCGAGCAGCCCTGAGGTATCTCTCCTGCTTCCCAGACCTCCCTGTAGAGTAGTCTGTTCCCTCTCTCTTTGTGGTTTTAGAGAGAGTGGGGCAGAGGGAGAGAGAGAGAACCTTAAGCAGGCTCCACGCCCAGTGTGTGAGCCCAACGTAGGGCTCTATCTCAGGACCCTGAGATCATGACCTGAGCCAAAATCAAGTGTCAGATGCTTAACCGACTGAGCCACCCAGGCACCCCCCTGCCCCGTCCTCTTTTAAGCCTCCGGGCCTTTGCCCACACTCAACCTTCTGCCAGGCATACCTTCCATTTTCCCATTCCCACCTCCCAGGAGCTGCTTCTCTTCCTTCCAGACAGCCCCAAAGCTCCCTCCTTCCTGCTGCCTTTCCCACCCCCTCCTCCTAGGCAGAGCCCTCGCAGCCCTTCCAAGGACCTCCCCCAGGCTTGGGTCTTCCCCTCCAGACATGAGCACAGTGAGGTGGGATGGTCTTCACCTGGACCTAACTCTACCACCAGACTGGGGTCTTATAAAAAGCATGGGTATGTCAAATCTACTTCATCTCCTCAGCTTAATACATGTTTGAATGAATGAGTAGAAGGATGGGTGGTGAGTGGTTGGGTAAGGAGTGAATAAGTAGATGAATGGATCCATGGATATGTAGATAGTTGGATCAATAGCTGAATTGTGGATGGATGGATGGATGATTGGGTGGGTGGATGGATGGATCATGGAAGGATAAATGGATGGGTCATGGAAGGAAGGATGGAGGGAGGGAGGGATGGAAGGGCGGAAGGATCATAGAAGGATGGATGGATGGACGTATGATGGAGGGATGGATGGAAGGATGGATGATTGGGTGGATGGATGGATCATGGAAGGATGAATGGATGGATCATGGAAGAATGGATAGATGGATGGATGGGTGATTGGGTGGATGGATGGATGGATGGATGGATGAAAGGAAGGATGGATGGGTGGGTGGATGGGTAGATGATTGGGTAGCTGGATAAATGGGTTGATGGATTGTGGATGGATGGATGGATGGATGGATAATATACATGGAGGGTGGATGGAGGGATAGATGGATGGATAAATAGGTTGATGGATGAATCAGTGGATCAATAGATGGATTGGATGATTGAACAAGTGGATGGTTGGGTAGGTTGAATAGATAGGTGGGTGAATGGATGGATGGATGAACTGAAGGATCGGTGAGTGGATGAGCAAATGGGTGATAGGTCAAAAGATGAAAGGGTGGGCTGATGCGAGACTGGAGTCAGGTCATTTAATCAGGTACGTCAGGTGGAAGTGAGTTGATTGGAGCCCGTGAAAGGGATTGCTGTATTCTCCACAGTCCCTACCATGCCCTTTGTCCCCCCCATGCCAAAGATGAGCCCCAGCTGCCCTCACAGCACCACATGTGCTCAGTGTCACTGTCACCCTGGCCCACTTCACGCATTCAGGTTCTCTCAGGGCCCCCAGCCCCTCCTCAGAGCCCCTTGATTTTGTCATCCAAAGACACTGAAGTTCCAGGAACTGGGTGAAGGGAAGGGAAGGAGAGGACTCTGAAAAGGCAGGGTCCTTGTGGAGCAGCACTGGTCAGATACTCACCCCGAGACTTGCCCCGGCCCTGCATGGAGTAGGCAGGGGTGCAGCTTCGGCCAAACCGGGTGACTTTTGGGTCCAGGAAGTAGACAGGCCCAGGACTGGTGTCCTGTGGAGATGCTGGGGGGAGGAGCCCAGAGTCCTAAGGGCACCTCCGATGCCCCCTCGACCCCGCTCAGTGCCCCTGGTCCACCCCAAGGCACTCCCACCCTCCAGACAGCCCCCAGCCCCACCTTGGACCACTGAGGCAGGGTTGCCCTGACCTAGGGGCCTGGGTCTCTGCCTTAACTTTGTCCTGATGAGCATTTCTGTGTCCTTGTGATCACAGCTGTCCCAGCCCTCAGACCAGGGAAGCAGCTGGTGGGTTGGTTGGAATTGCACGTACAGCAAGACTAGACCCTGAGGAGGGGCTCTTTGCATGCTTGGGCTTGTCCCTGGGTGGGACTGCGTGGGTCTCAGCATGGCTCCCCGTGAGCTGCATCTCTGCCTGGGTCTCCTCAGTGGCGGGGTGAGATGGAATGGCGGGAGGGTCCATGGAGGGCGGCCCAGTGCGGGGCACCTCACTGCTGGGACCAGTCGCTGGGACTGATGTCACCGCCACTGCTGAGCCATAAATGCTCGTGCCTCTGCGTGTCGTGGCTGTGACACCAATTCACCGGTGGCACGACACGCGAGCTCACAGACTCACCGGGCGGCACGACGCGCGAGCTCACGGACTCACCGGGCGGCACGACGCGCGAGCTCACGGACTCACCGGGCGGCACGACGCGCGAGCTCACGGACTCACCGGGCGGCACGACGCGCGAGCTGGCGCACAAACACATCCCAGTTCCAGGCCCATGCGTCTGCTGCCAGCCCTACCGAGTCCCTTTCTCCTGGGGGCTCTACTGAGCCCCTCATCCTGCAAAGCCCAGACCACATGCGTCCCCCTCCAAGAAGTCTTCCCTGGGGAGCCAGCAAAGTCTACCCTGGCCCCCCATCCACCCCTGACTCCCCGGCCTGTCTGTCCCTCTGTCCCAGGATGTCCCTGGGGAACACAGGCCGCTCTGGGCCAGAGGCGAAGTTCTTAACCCTTCCTTGGAGCTTCTGGAGTTTTGTTTCAGGTTGGGTTGGGATTTTTGCTGATTCTAAAGGCTGAGAAGAAGCTGCTGCCACACACGTCCGTCAGCCACCCCCACCCCAAACCTTCATCCCTGTGAATCAGAGTCCTCGTGCGGGACTCTCCCCAACCAGGGCGCTCCGGGACCTCGGCTCTAGAAAATGGGGTGACGGAGTCTGTGGGCATTCATGTGAAGGGCAGAGTGTTGCTAGAACGCGGCAGCGATTCCACTAACAGGAATGAGCAGTGAGCTGGGGCCACGGCCACCCACGTTAGCAGCACTGATGGTGCTGACCCTCGCACACATCCTGACGCAGCTCTTCTGGCCAGGGGCAAGGTGGGCGATGTGGAAGCAAGGGCCCCACTGACCAGGCAGCCCCGCCGCCCACGGGCTGTCCGCACCACCCCGCCCTCTCCACAGCTGTCTGTGAGGAGCCCCGTCCTGCTGAGGAGACACCGAGGCTAGGACCCCCGTGAAGCCCATTTCCACTGCGCTGTCTAGGCACCAGGCGCTGATCCTGGCTCACGGACGTCTGCAGGCACCTGTTGGTTTCGTGTGAGGACAGCTCTGTAAGGGGCATACTGTCACTGTTTGTGGGGGAGGACACCGGGGCACAGAGCTGCTGAGCAGCCAGTCCAAAGTCAGGCAGCAAGGAAGCCATGAAGCCCAGGAGACAGGCTCAGGGCTCGGCAGCACGCTGCATTCTGCCTTCCCTTCTCATCCAAGGACACAGAGGACACAGAGCTTCCCCAGGGTCACTCCGCAAGCGGGGGGCGGGGCCTCGGGGACCTAGGGGAGGCTCAGAGGGCCCCTCCCCTACCCGTCCAGCCCCCACCGGCACCCAATCTTACCGATCTTACTGGGGCGGGGTCTCCAGAAGAGGGAGTAGGCCGGACTGACCGCCCTGGTGCAGTCGTGGTTGATGTAGCCCACGGTGGACGGCAGGACGTACAAGCCTGGCCCTGAGCCTGCGACCAAAGCCCTCAGGTCACAGCCTGCAGCTCCAGACACTGACACAGGGGCGGGAACCCAGGGCCCAGCCCCTGAGCCCCCGCCTGGGCTGCCTGCCACCCACCATGGCAGGAGTGGGGGTGGGAGCTGCCCGCCCCCCCACAGGGGGAAAGTGAGTGAGGGGCATTGTGAGTCAAACCTGAGTCAAAGGTAGGAGGGGCCACAGGGCCAGCAGTCTCCTCCTGCTGTAGGGCACATTGGGACAACCGAGGCCCAGACACAGAGGTACACTGTCACAGGTGGGGAAAC